GTACTCAAGGAGTTAACTGGCTTTACATAAGTAACCACCATATTCCCAGGGATGGTTTATTTACCTTGCCTCACCATGGAATCAATCTTAATGCCAACAAGGTTTTTTCTAATGTTTAGGGTTGCCAGAAATTCTACTTCCTTCATAAACATTAGTTCTTTGAGCCTTCTGCCATTTCAGGAGAGGTCAAGACAAGTTTTTTTTTCTTTAAACTATAACTTTAATGTTATAGTCAATGTGAATTCTACCTCAGCAAATCACTAGAATCCATCTCCTCTTCCCTATTACCATTGCCATAACTCTAGTCAGGCCCTCATTACCATACGTCTGAAGCATTGAGATTGCTTTCTATCAAGTCAGCCTCCTTCCACTCTCTTCATAAATACTCCTATCCCATAAACCTAGCATCCATCCTTCATATGACAGGAGACTAATTTTATGCATGAATCTGGATTGTGCATGGATTTTAAACAGAATTCCTCTGCTCAAAAATATACATTGAACAAGTTATGGTATATGAATGTAATTGAATACTATCATGCAGTAAGAAATGACAAAGGGGATGGTTCCAGAAAAACCTGGGAAGACTTTATGAACTGATGCAAAGTGAAGTGAGCAGAACCAGGAGAACATTTTATCCATTAACAACAATATTGTAATAAAAGCAACTGTGAAAATTTGGGAACTTTGGTCAGCACAATAATCAACCACAATTCCAGAAGATTCACAATGAAACATGCCTCTCACCTCCAGATAAAGAGGCAATGCATTCAGAGTGCAAATGGAGACCTTTTTTTGGTCATGCCCAAAATGGTCACAGGGAATTTTTTTATTTATAAAAAACAAATGTTTGTAACAGGTTTTTGTCTTGCTTTCCGAGGTAGGGTAAGGAAGGGGAAGAAGAGCTGGGAGAACAAGGCATCTTTTTTTAATAAAACAAAATTTAATTTAAAAAAAATCTTCAGTGGCTCCCCATTCCCTACTGAAATGAAAAATCATTAGCTTAGCAAGTCTCTCACAATCTGAAATCACCTTTCCTTTCAACTATAGCTAATACTACTGCCCACTATGAGCTGTGTTCCAGCCATTTTAATTACACCCTACCTCCAGTCAAAGCTATATACCTTGAACACTTTCCCTTTCCCTCTTTGCCTGTTGAATTCTTAAACATCCTTTGAAGTCACTTCTTCCATTTTTCCTCAATTGCCCTGATTCATAGCAACCCTTCCCCTTTTTAGGTTTTATGTGGCATTTTACTTTGTACATCTTTTATACATGTCTCAAGTATGATTTGATATTATAGTTATTTGTGTGTCATATCATCATACAAAACTGTGGGGACATCTTATATTAACTTAGCATCTCTCCCAGGGCCTAGCATCACGTTCTGCTTAGTAAGCACTTACTAAACATTTGTTTATTGAATTGAGTGTATTTAATCATTTTGGTAGTTGCTGTTTCCTTTCTGTTACCAATTTTCTCATAATCCAAATTAGATCTCTTGATTACTCTTCTAATTCTTTATCTTTCTCCACCTCCGTAATGGGCTAAACTACTCCACTACATAAAGAACTAGACTTTACCCCACTACATAAAAATTAGGTCTCCCAGTCACCAAGTAAAATGGATCATCCTCTCTTCCTTCTCCCATATTCTCTTTTTCACGTAGGTCAGGATTTCTTAGCCTTTTTGTGTGTGTCCTGGAACCCCCCCCCCCGGCAGTCTAATGAACCCAATGGACCTCTTTTCAGAATAATGTTTTTAATTACATAAAATAAAATACATTCCCGTTGTAAAGGGAAGAAATTGTACTGAAATACAGTTATCAGAACATTAAAAAAAAAACTCGTGGGCCCCTAAGAATTCCTAATTTTGGTGTAAGCATAGACAAATGACAAAATAAACAAAAGCTTGCTATCCTTAGGAACTTAACCTACTCGGTTTCCCTCTTTCCCTCCCCAGAACTTGCTGCTCTATACTCAGGCTGCTAATAAAACTCTCGTATACCCATTGTGTGTGTGTGTGTGTGTGTGTGTGTGTGTGTGTGTGTGTGTGTGTGTAGATCAGAGATCATCTTTTCCAGTGGTATGCTGCAAGCAAATTCATAAGCTGCAACAGATGAACATGGGAAAGAAAGAAGGATGATTCTTCCCTTGGACCCCTGACTACATGTCCTCAGACCATGCTGACATAGGTATACCCAGTCTCATACCTATATATTTAATACAGCATATTAATAAACTGCTAAAAGATTCTAAATTTTAAAAGTTTTTTCTATAGGAAAATTATAATGGGAAAAATGGTCTATTGCTTATTTTTCTCAGGACAGCCACTGAGATGGTACCATTCCCATCATCCCAAAAAGTAAGCATTTTTCTCAAGCAGAGAAGGAAGAAGGGCCTCTTTCATTTCCTCTGGATTCTCCCCTTTGCCCAGATTTAAACCATTAGTGAAGGGACTAGCTACTGGCTACTACCCAGGAACTAGCCTCTGGCTACAGGAGTGGGGCATCTGTGACTTCTAGCTCGTTTACAGTAAATGGGCCTAAGAAGGTTAGTGTGGGTGCCTGTGAAATGCATCAGATCACCATTCTCTTGACTCATCTCAACCACATACCCCTAATGTGAGGTTGTATGGAGGCTCCATGCCTGAGCAGCTTTCCACTGTGGCCTTGTGGAAGAATTGGACAAAATCATTTCAACAAACCTGAAGAAAGTGTGTCAAAAGCAAGGGAGTGAGGGGCAGCTAGGTGGTGCAATGGATAGAACACTGGCTCTAGATTCAGGAGGACCCGAGTTCAAATCCAGCCTCAGACACATAACACCAGCTGTGTGACCCTGTGCAAGTCACTTAACCCCATTGCCTAGCCAAAAAAAAAAAAAGAGCAAGGGAGTGCTCTTCAATCAAAATTATATCTGTACTCTGAAATCTGTCAATTATTTAACCTGCTAGACCATGAGCTCTAAAAATCACTGTTTTCTAAACTTTCAGCTCCAACTTAATACAGAGCTGAACAATCATAAAACTACTGACTTTTCCCTACAACCAAAGGGTACAAATACAACAGCAGCTGAGTGGTGCAACAGAGAGAGTGTCAGACCTGGAGTCAGGAAGACTCATCTTCCCGAATTAAAATCTGACCTCAGACACTTACTAGGTATATGACCCTGGGCAAGTCACTTAACTCTGTTTGCTTCAGTTCCCTCATCTGTAAATGAGCTAGAGAAGATATTCTAGTATCTTTCCCAAAAAAGCCCCAAATGGGGTTATGAAGATCAGTCACAACTGAAAAATGACTGAACAACAAAACAAATATAACCATAGATACAGAAATCAACAATGAGTTCTCATTTACTACAAAATACCTCCGCCCTGAATGATTTGTACCTCAAATTAACACACCTTCCTAGAATTGGAGAAATTACAAAAGTAGAAAGGCTGACAAAATGTCTAGATATACTTAATAAGATCGTTGTTCATCATGGGGGAAAAAACACAGTCAGATATTTTACAAAGTAAAGTACTTTTTTTTTCATTATTGCAAAATTGAGAGGTGGCATGACATCCTGGCTAACAAGCTAGACTTGGAGGCAGGAAGACTTAGGCTCAAGGTCCACTTCAGACACATACTAGGTATGGACCCCTGACAAGTCACTTAACTTCTCAGCATTCCAAGCAACTCAGACTATAACTTGGAGAATAGTTGCTATTCAGCATTGGTAGAGGGAGCTTCATCACTGGGCTGTCCCTGCAATAGTGAAATAATAGTTCTGGACCAAATGTGACTTATTATTACAGAATCTGACCTATGCTATACCTCTGGTGAAGCTAATTCTTAATTCATGTAAATTCTGGGGGTTTTTTATTTTAAAAAAAAAACTTGAAGGTATATACACAAGCAAGGACATGTAAACATCTAAAGAAATCAACCCACAGCTCAAATTTCCTTCCAAGATTGTCAAATGACTCATGCCATTCCAAACAACATGTTAGGTTCAACTTAAATAGACTATTGTTTCCTACAATCTGAAGCTCTCGGGCCACATTTCTTCTAAGGTTTCTATCTCAGTACATATTTGTTATGTTGTATATGATGATGGGTAGAAAGAAAGGAAAGTGGCATATTTATAAAAAGGTATCCCCAAGTACTATGTGAAGATCACTTTCATTTCTTCTGAATTGGATACCCCAAGGATTTTCCTACCCAGGGTTGTTAGACTTTTTGTGTTTTCAAAGTATCATTTGCTCTGATAAAAATTCTTATCTTTCAGTTAAATCTGGACTAAATGTTCTTCGCATTTATGGTTATGAATATGATTATGAATAATATTTTAGCTAAAATTACATTTATTCTTGCATGCAGAAAATATTTATTGAATACTTCCCTGTTTGCTATGTCCTAGGCTAAGAGCCTTGAAAGATACAAAAGCACAGAAGACTAGTCCCTGCCCTCTATGAGTTTGTCATCTAAAAGGGAGGTTAAAACATGCAGTAAAAGTAATTACAATACTCTCAAATTCTTATTCAAGGATGAGAAGTAGAGCAGATATAAGGTTACCTTCCCTTCCCTGCTTGCATAATGAAAACTCTTTGTGCTTTGAAATATGGTTTTAAACTCACTTTTTCATCCACACCCAATTTTCATTGGGATGCTTGATAAGAGTTAGTTTCAATACCTCTCAAAAATACCTTCCATTCAATTCTAGATGAAGAATTATTTCCATACTTGCAGATTTCCCGTGTAAAGAAATAGTGAAGATGGTTTGATGCCTTTGTGCCTGAATTTAAGAGTTTGCTTGGTATGTATCATGTAGATCCAAAAATAATGTCCATTTACAATTCAATGAAATGTTTTCCACTTCGTATGTAAAAGTAAGCACTTTAACTCTTCTTTAGAACAAATATTTTGCCCATTTTGGGCTATTTTTAAATCTTAAGAAAATGTGCAAGGTGATTAATAATAGGACACACAGATTGGCAGTGTCTCTCAGAATACTTACTGATCCATACAGCTCCCCTTTCTCATTCATTCCGAGGTATAGTCCACTGTCCACGCCTCGAATGCTGACCAAACCTACTGCTATGCTGATAAATTCCAGAATGCCTTTTTAAAAAAAAAAAGGAAAGAAAGAACAAGTCAATATGTACATAATTTCCTCAGAAATTTATAGACTCTAAATAAGCAAGAAGCGACATGAAATCTAGTTCACTATTTAGAAAATATCTTCCAAAAGTTAAAGAAGTATATTTTGATTGTAAAATAATTATACAACAGAATTAGCTTCAACCTGTTTTATAGTACGACAACCAAAAGATAAATCTTTAACATTTTCCCAAAGTATTAACTACAGTTTAATAATATTACACAACTTACCAGCATCCTGATTTGTGCCAAAAACAACAAATTCCCTGAATAAAATAATAGGAATGTAGATGGATGCCCATGCCTATGAATGCTAATTGTCCTGGACACAAAAGGAATTTTCTAATTAACCAAAATATTATTCCACAGATAGATAACTGAACACCATCAGGGAATTAAGCATATATCTAGTCATATGGATAAAGGACAGATTTCCCCTCAAAATGTTGTCTTGTGTACCCACAAAACATAACAGAAATTATCTAGATTATTATTAGTCTCAGAGAAAAACCACCTAGTTCCCTTATGCTGTTTTTCTAAAATGAACATTGAAAATTAGAATGTTCCTGTTTTTTCCTAAATATTACTACTTTTGTAAATTATTCATTTTTCTCCTACAGTTTATCTGAAATTCAAAGAGGTATGTGGGCAAGTCAGATAACACCACATTCTACACCATTTTTAAAAAAAGTAATTCTTTATTGAGATTCAATAAGCTGACATTAAAAGCCTACATTGTGCTGGGCATTGGGAATTTTTAAAAAATACCTAAAACAGTTCCTGCCCTCAACTCTCCTGGACACAGTCCAGTATCTTCACAAATCAGCATTAAACTTTGTCATTACCTTCCTTTACTGAAACTTGCTTCCCTACCACTACCCAGTCAAAGCACAGAGCTGGAATTTTACTGCAACAAACCTGAATGACCTTTCTAATTGGCTGTAAGGTGACTAGCTCACAATATCAATTGGGCAGGCAAATACAGAAGTAATATAATTGTACTCAGTCATTTCCTCGTTGATATAATAAATCTACAATGCACCATTTAGAATTGATGCATTCTAGCATAGTTTAATACTGAACAACTTACAAAAAGAAAACCTTCAATTATTTAAAATTTTAGTTACATTTAACAGTAAAAACTAAGTTTAACACCGTACTGTAGGCAGTCCCATGTGACTAATAAAAAAGCACTTATATGGATTTTTAAACAATTAATTTTGCATCTCTCACAAAATAGACTGTGTGGTAATCAATAGCAGACATGGACCACATAAATCTAATAAAGCCTAGGATAACACCCCAAGAGAAAATTTTGTATCAAAGCAATGTAAAGATAAAACCTGTTTCTTATGAGGAAGTATTTGTAATTCCTTTATGGTGTACACAGTACTACAAACACTGAAAGTCTACTATTTAGAGACTGTGTCTGCCAACATAGGTAATATATAAGTATCACACAGTTTAATGGAATTTGAAATACTGTGCAAGAAGAAAACATGAGAAATTATTTTTAAAATTATGTTTGTAATGTAATAAATTATGGATGAGAAGAGTACCTCGAATAAAGCCAGTTTATTGATTCCTCCTCATTTCACAAAGATATTGTAAGGTCAAATGAGGCAATATTACTACATGTGGGATGCCATTTTGTATAATACATACTCCTATGTTCAATCCAAGCAATTATTTTTATTTTATTGAATTATCCATATATATACAAGGTGTGCAGCCTAGATTTCTGAATGTCAAAGTAATAGAAATACTGCACCAAATGGCAAATATGTTTAACGGTCCCATTCTGCCAAAACTTTTTCAGCTAGTTAAAAACCACCAAAGATAGCATATGCCACAACTAATGTTCAACAATAGACTGTCTAAAACTACCCAGGGGGACTGGCTAATGTTCAGTTTTCATGGGAAATTAAAGCAAAAGAATCCCTTTGAGGGCCAACAATTCACTAGGTCAATCAGAAAGTACAGTTATGAAGTAAAAAATACATTTATTATAGTCTGATATTGTCTTACCCTTTAGGTTACATCAAACACTAACCAACTCTGTTCATTCAGTCTAATACATACAACAATAATGTAAGTTGGGGCAAAAAAAAAAAAACCCTGTCACCAGTCCTGTCTCTTACACCAAGACTACATGTCTGAAGACCATTACAATGATCGTTTGAGAAATGGGGAGGGGAGGGATAAACTCACATTATTATAGCACTTTAAGCTTATACAGTGTTTTCACATTCTAATTTGAGCCTCCCAACTATTCTGTGATGCAGGAAAAGAAGTGTTTGTTTCCATTTTATATGTACAGAAACTGTAACAATCTCACATAAAATAATTGTTTTTAATGTTTTTGTCACCAAAATTATCTAATAGACTTGTTACATTGTTATAATTCATATGTTACTCTGCCTTTAGCAGATACACAGGAACTGCTCTTTTGCTGCTTTTGATTCAATTAATGGGCAGAGGTGAAAGAACAGAGGACCCTGGCAATCTGATAGAATGATGAACTTACTCTATCCTCAATCTCTACCCACCAGTTTTTTTGGTGGTTTGTTTTTTGATCCTTTTGTTTACAGAGTTATCAGTGATAAACATAAAGGGAAGACATAGCTATTCACTGAAAGACATCTAGAGCATATGGCTACCTTTATATTTTGATAGTTACACAAACTTCATTAACGTACATCGTTCCAAAATTTCTCCAAAAACTAAAAAACGTTCTTTTTACTAGATTTACTTGTTAGATCAACTCAGTTATTGTATGTAGTATTTTGTAACTGAGTTATTTAATAGTATCAAAGTAAAGATAAAATACATCTTCATTGTCCAGTCTAATCACTGGGGATCTTGAAATAAGTATTTCTTGACAAGTAGGAAAGTAAAAGGGCAGTATGAGAATAGCATGCGTGTTGAGTAACTAGTAATGAGCACCCACATGTTTGAGATTAGAATAGGTCAATAGAATGAGTCAAAATATGTCTCCACCAAATGAACCTCACCCTATTCCAGCTCACTGGCCCAAATGAACACATACAAATGCATTGTACATCTTAGTCTCCCTTATAGCATAGTTATCTGTGTGCATGTCTCATTTTCTTCCATTAGATGGTGACCCCCTTCTGTTTCACTTCTGCCCCGACTCCCCAATCCTGAACACAATACTTTGTACACACTAGGTGACCAATGTTTATTGAATTGAACTGAAAAGTGAACCACCGATCTCAGAATTTCCTAGTCGTAAGTGAAAGTGGCCATCAATGGCCCCAATCCTTGCTTGAAAAAGGAATCTTCACTACACTGTACCCAACAAGTGGTCATATGAGCTCTACTTGGAGAACTCTAATGAAGGGAAGCTCATTACTTCCATCCTTTTCCATCCTAGATAGCTCTAACACTAGGAAGATTTTCCTGACACTGAGCCTCAATAAATTTGGACATTTTCCAGCCAACACTATGCATTGTTTCCAGCATTGTAAGTTAGAATTTCTTTCAAATTTCAGAAATTAATTAGCAATACATTTTATTCAATATAAGGGGGAAAGTTTTATTATATTCACCTTGCTCCACCAGGCTTATCCTTTCTACTAGCAATTACATTTTGTAGTTGTATAATTACTAGTAAAGGGTCACATGTAAATTCACCTCAGGAGAAATGTAAGGACACCTTTATGGGGAAGCAGAGAAACTATGTGTATTATCGAAAGTAAAAACTATTGCTGGATCCTCCCCCATATCCCTACTGGCAATGTTGCTGGGATAGGAAAAACAAAAGTTACAATTCAGATCCTACAATGTCCAAGCATGGTGAGATGGGCAATTCTACATCACACCTGGGTACAAAAAGGGCATCCTCAAGCATTTGTACACTAGCTTCTAACTCCACTGTCTCAGAAAATCAGACTCAGTATGGCAAAGATTGGGGGAAGGGGGCAGAGTTCAAGAGTCTATAAGGCATACCAAGTGACTGACAGCTGGATTAAAGACATCCAAAGACAGGTAGAGCAGTCACTAAGCTAAAATACCTTGAGAAGTATACTCTTTTCCCAAAGTTTACAAAATAGTTTCTGGAGCAATTTGAAGTTAAGCTTAAGGAGGAATAGAAAGGAGCAGCTATCCACTACATTTTTCCCCCAGCTGGTGTTTTTCTGGCATCTTGAAGCTATCTGCAATTGATATGAATGTGTTTTGAATGCCCACAAGTCCTTCAATAAAAAGCCAAATCATTTTGTGACTATATTTTTCCATCTAAAATTATTAATCCTAACATTAAATAAAATGACTACTTTCCTAGAACTAGAAAATTACATTTTCATTGTGGGGAAATAACACAACAAAAACTTGTCAGACATGGAAAGACCTCAAATTTGGGACATTTGATTTAATTCAACACCCACTTGAAAGCTAAAAGCCTAGCCATTTGTCTACATCAAATTCCAAACCACCTTAGATAGCTAAGTGTAGAATATTGGATTTTTTTTTGAGATTCATTTTAATTTCTTCTTTCTTGTTTCCATAACTCATACTTTATCATTCAACAAATTATGGTTTCTACCTTAAGTAAAAAACAAAGCATTCCCCATAATATTCAGGCACTCCTATTCCCTAGCTTATCCATGGCCTGTGGAGGAATTAAGGGAAGAACAGACAAGGTATACTACTGCCAGCAATGCACAGTCTCAGAGTGCAGCAGTTTTACTGAGTGAATTTACTTGTGACTCCACACCCCACTCCCACATCCCAGCAGTTGCAAGCGTAAGTATAGTTTCAATGAAAAGAATAATCCTGGAAAGTGGAAGAAATGTTGAGAAGGGTATTGTTTGTTTTTCTCTTTTGCACTGAGAAGGGTATAGCACTACTTTCTGAAGTTTGTTTGTTTGTTTGTTGGGGGGGAGGTTGAGGGGGAATCAAACTTAATAAGCTTTCTCCCTGCCTTGTGAATTTTCTTG